TTCAGTGATGAGAATAGCTAAGACTATTCAGTGATGAGAATAGCTAAGACTATTCAGTGATGAGAATAGCTAAGACTATTCAGTGATGACAAGTGCAACATTAAGAGCATTCAGGGAAGAAAGAGAGACAGCAGGCTAGTAGAAGCCAGGCTGCATGTGACATTTTAAGATTGAAGGTGGACCCTGCCCAAGCAGGCTTGGTGCAGCAACATGTCATTCATGGAAGCGGTATATGTGGGCGGGCCTTTTTAGGGGTGTGGCTTTGAAAAGCCAGTAAGTGAAGGGGTGACAACAATCACTGAAACAGCAGCCCTGAAACACTCCAACTTTGGGCTTTTGAGGTTTGGCTGTGGCCCCCCTCCTCCTCCCCCAAGTTGCCCCCAGCACCACATGCGATTCCAACATGCTCCCTCGAAAGTGACACCCAGAGCAGGTGTGAAGCTCGAAATAGAGCCCCCACCTGGCCAGCAGGTCCTTATAAAGGGCCCGCTTATTGTTTTTGGAGAGAAACAGGAGCACCGGTGTCAGGTGGAGACCCGGCACTTACGGCTGCAATATCCCCGTGCAAGCGCCCCGCCCACAGGGGGCGCCCCACACCCTTCTCTGTGAAGAACTGACACCCCAACCCCGCTTTACTTCCCTGGCCACACTGTCAGTCACGCAGCAGGAATGTGCAGTGCTTAAGCCACTCGGCCATCATGTCCTCAGTCACATGTCCTGAAGGAGACAATGAAAGTTCCAGAAAAATCTCAGTGGGCTCCATGTGCCGCTATGCTCTTGACTCTTATTGTCACGTAAAAACAAACAAAGACAAATGCCAGGCATCTCTCCTGGTTGTAAGCGGTGGACACAAACCACTGCAAACTTTCATACTACACATTCAGTATATGCAGGAGGAACCCATGTAACATGGAGAATTCATGCAAACGTCAGCAGACCAGAGAGGGGATGCAACACTGGAAGCTAAGGGTGCTGTGTTAGCCACTACGTCACCATGGCAACCACGAAAGCAGCTCCACGTACCACAATCCACAAAAAGTCAGACAAAGTCAACAGTGATTTCCTCCTGGACACTTCTCAGACTTGAGGTCTTTCCCCCAGTCTGAGTGAGCAGCTGTTCGAAAGCTGGAGGTGTCATGCTCACAAGGGCAGCGTGAACAGACGGAAATGCCTTCAGCGGCCATGCCGGGGAGTGTCTGCAGTCGGCCACTGAGTAAGTGCAGCACCTGAAGTGGACAGCAGGACCAGTCGGCGTGTCGCTTGCTGGGTTCTGGCCATTTTCCAAGCGATAGGATTTCCTGAAAGCCTTACAGAGAACATGACTCTGCAGCGCAATGAAAATGCTTCTTTCAGCAGCCAGTGGAAAAAGGATGATGCTTTCCGAAGCATGAGAAGAAAGATTATTTTTATGTTACACGGCATGTTTGAAAGAAAAAGGGCTGCCAAAATTATGTGAAATTCCAAAAGCAGTAATAATACTTAATTTCGGAGGATAATCTGACATTATACTTAGTCTGTGCTCTAAAAAAAAAAGACGGTGTGTCTTGGATATACTTAGTTTGTCCGTGATCTTGAATGTGAAAGTAATGTAGATTTTGAGAGAAGGAATTAGGCTTCATAGAAACCACCTAGCTGTGGATCTATCAGATTTTGCTGGGAGGAAAGATTGTCCTCTTGGGGATTGTGGGTAATTAGGTTAGTGGGTTGCCAGTGTCAGGAAATTGAAAGACAATCCTAATCAGATTTGTGTTTCCAGGGAATCATGGAATGTATATAAGTAGGCAAATCTCTTGGCTATACTCAGTTACACTCAGATAATAAAGTATACTGACCCATGCAAACATCCTGACTATTAGAGATGGATGCAGGAAAAGCAGCAGACCATCATATTTTTTCGTATATTTCAGAAATTTCTAAAGTGTATCTGTTCAGTGCATAATATTTTTTTCATTTTTAATGTACATACTTTTATGCGTGAAACGTATTCACTGTAATGTACTTATATAATTCATTTTCACCGCGCAATATGGCCTGATTTTTTAATGTAGGGTTCCATGCAGAACAATGTTAACGGGAACTGAAGAAAAACGTAGCACTGGTGGTAAGGGTTAAATAAAACAAGGGCAGCTTTCAGATGAGCAGCTTGTCGATGTTAACAAATGTGTTGGTGCTCTTGCATTCGCTGCTCACGAGATGGGCTGTTCATGGACTGAGGAGCTTTTTGCAGTGAGAGGTGAGCTTTCTGCCATGACGGTTTGCTCTCCATCATTACTGTCTGGACAGCTACTGTATCTGTGTGCCCAGTGATGCACTGGCATTCTCTCTGGGCTACTAGGTTCCAAGACTGGGATAAGACAGGACATTTGGTCAGGTGTGGAAGTCGGTGATGTCTATATACTGTACCACGACACCACCAGTCCCGGACATGCTGAGCTGCACAACACCCCCAGTGCCTGGGGTCAGTAATGAACAGCAGAGAGACTGTTCCACTAGCAGCAATCGAACACTACATCTCCGTAACTGGCACGTGCGGTCTTATAACAGAATCATAAATCCAATGTTATGGACATACCTGACATCCCATTTATTTGTGATTCTACTGAAATTGGTCATTACATCAATGTCTTTGAATGATAAGGGCTTAAAGAGGCTCTGCTAGACAAAAGTGAAAGTGAGCAGATGTTATCGGAGGCTGCACAGTTATTGGCACTGTCTTTATTTTAGTCAGGGGTAAAGAGATGTGTGACTGGGACCTGCTTTCAGGCTCTAAGGAGTTAGAGCCGTACATCTGCCGATGAGCGGTGAAATGCTCCTCCCTAAGACTGGTCATAATTCAGAAATTTATAGCCCTATCAGAACTATATTCATTTCCTGCTAATATTAACCCAATTTTACTTCTTTTGCTGCTTCACTATAAAAGCATTTTAATGTGTTTAAAGTTAAACTGGTGGAAGGTGTTCTGACTATTATAGAGCAATCTATAGTTGGTGAGCAAGTTTTTGTCTGTAGCTACTTTTGGCAATTAATTCATTATAAATAAAGGTATTGGACCAAATGAGTTCAGATCAGATACGGGAATCATAAATGGGTTCAAACCGGACCCGGGCTGGATGAGGTGCTTTATGAATAGGTCCAAACAGGATCCAAGCCGGATGAGGCGCTTAATGAGTGGATCCGGATAGGGTCCAGGCCAGATCTGATCTGAGATGGGTCCAGCTGCAGACACCTGTCTGAGAGACTTGAGAGCCCTGACTTTACTTATACGACTCGTGACATGTTGATACTTAATAAATGAATCTGCCCAGCAGATCGATCCTTGATTTTCCACAGAATTAAAAAAACAATGTAATAAGCACTGGCACGTTTCAACACCGGCACCAGCTGGAGACGCAGGCAAAAGGTATTCAATCTTATTGAGGTACAAAACAATTCCATCTACTCTGTCTTTTTTCTGCACTTCCACGTAACTTCCATGTTAACTCCGAGAATTGTGACCAAGAATTCAGCAAGTTTATCGCTGTAAATGCCTCGTCATTAGTGCCTCCGAGAACCTGCAGGAAGCTCCGATGATCTCCCACACACACACACATGCATATACATACACACCAATTCTCGCTGTCTGTGGGTGTTTCACGTGGTATAGGACGATGTGGTCAGCCGCTATATGGGGGGCATATCTACAACTCCCTCAGGTGTGCCTAGTTCTAAAATTTAGTCGCACTGTCTGCAAAAATGGTCGCAAAATGTAACTAAATAGTCACAATAGTTTCTTACGCGTTTTTTACACTACGCAACAAAGAAAAACAACACACACTCGAACAAGTTCACAGGTTTGTCTCTGGGTATACGTCATTCCAGCCTATATGCCGTGTTTGTGTAACGTTACGTTAGACGGCCAGTCACCAGTAACTTTAAATCTTTACACAAGTATGTTGTATGCTTATTAGCTCACAGATGCCGAGATTTACTTTTTGGGTAAGGGAATTTGGCACCGAAAGATAATTAATTTTTCGATCCTCTATAGGATAGGAGAATTTCGGTCTGCACCATAAAAGTACCAGAGATAGGTACCCAGCCCTACTCCTGTCAGTGAGGTCACTGGCACTGCTGGGTATTCGCTGGTTTAGAGCTTTGCTAAGCTAAGGTGATCAGTGTATCTCCTGCGACAGCTGTGTGTTTCTGTCTCCCATTACTGATGTGCATTCCTGCATGCAGGGGTACGCCTGGACCGCGTGCGAGGTGGCAGGCAAAAGTACAAGCGGAGGCTGGATGCTGAGAACCTCACCTACCTAGGCCTCGCACTGCCTCCCCCAGACAAAAAGCCACGTGAGTTCCTACACTGCACCCGTACTCTTAGCACCACCCACAGTAAGACCTGCCAGAAGTTGGACACCCAGAAACCTCACCAATATCATAGATACACGCCAAACGGCATCTAAAGGACTATTCCCTCATCTCGTTCTCTAGTGACAAAGATGGTGTCCCGTCTGCTGGTAGCAGAGCCAGAGAAGATCTATGCCATGCCCGACCCCAGCCTGCCTGAAGGTGACATCAAGGCCCTGACAACACTGTGTGATCTGGCCGATCGGGAACTGGTTGTCGTCATCAGCTGGGCCAAGCATGTGCCAGGTATGGCTGGACAGCAGGATGCCCAGGCATCCATATGCTGATTACCAATGCAGTGCAGACCTGCAGGATGGTTTTGGCCTGGTCACTTGTTTCAGCTGCTTCCTTACTGCTTCTTGACTGTTTTTCATATCTTTATATTCTATATTTACATTTTATATTTTGACTCCAAAAACCATAACTGTATAGTATTTATGCACACATTTACAAATGCATTCATTTGCACACATTACACTATTTGCAGATTTTACAGCTTTGATGCTCATTCTCTTACCAATGAAGATGATAAAGGTTTTTGGTTAATTTAAGGGTCTCCCATATGTAAAGTGTGCAGTTAAGCACAGTGGATATTCACACACTGACACGTGATAATTACACACCTGTCGCTGTAATATACCTGCAGGAGAATCATAAATTGCCTGAAAGGCTCAAATCAATAGAGTGTCTTTCTCAGTGGGGGGGTGCAGTGACAGGCGGTCGATGTGCTCCATAATCGATGGGGACATTCAGATGTACACAAGGCTCCACTGGGAAGAAGGCAAGTGCTTTGTTCAAAAGAGGGAAAACAGAATTCTTAATGGAACTAATCATGGATCCTGTTATTGATTGGTGTGGGAGGCATGGATGGCACACGTGAGTGCTCATTCAGTGCCTGGTTTAACCAGTCAGGTAACTGACGGGAAGTAGCCAAAAGCAGTCTGTCATTGGTGGTCTGCGAATGGTAGTGTGTGATAATCCCACCCACCCTGGGTTTTGAAGTCCACTTTCATTGATATATTAGTAATGCCTGCTATACTTCTGGTATGGTTGTCCATTCATTATAAATGAAGGATGGCTTTCATTCTCAATGGTTGGGTCATTCACCCCAGTGTTGACTGGTATACTAATGGAGACAACTGAGCATGGTCAACCATGGGCACTGCAGGGGTGCTCATCCGCTTAGGTGATGGGGTGGCTATCTAGCGCTGGCTCAGCATGGAGCTCTGAGAGCCGCTTACATGAGCAGAGATTTCCCGTGACCCAGTAGCTCAGTCGCCTGTATCTGGCCTGGGGCTCGTCAGGTCAGGGTGGCCTGACTGGGTCACGCGCTCGTCAAATGCCCAAACATTGCGCAAGAGACTCCTCTATATGCTCTACCAGCCAATTACAGCTTTTGATATTGGAAAGCAATGGTCTATGCAGCATTTACAGTTGAAAAAAGCTTTGATGTAGGTTATTTCATATAATGCCCTACCTTCAGTATTTACTGGTTCCCAGCCCTTGTTATTGCTGTTCATCAGCGGTCTTCAACCACAGAGTCACGGACTGGTACCGGGCCGCACAGAAAGAAAGAAGAAATCTTTTAATTTCCATTTTATTGAGTCTGCCGGGTGTTTTATTTTGAAAAATGACCATATCATCTCCCATCATTTCCGTCTGTGCCCCTTTCACAGGTTTGATCTTAGATATAAAAAGATGGAAACTATATGTGCGGTTGGATGTGCGTCTGTGTGGGTGCCATGTTGGGGGGCTCATCTCTCGAGTCACTGATAGCAGACCATTTGGAAAAATGCTGCAGGCATGTGCAGCCCTTGGGGGTACAAAATAAGAAACCTTAACAACGGGCATCGCAGTATAACTTCTCACAAATAAGTGGCAATCTTATTGTTTGTTACTGTTATGTAAGTATCACTTCAGACTATCCTGAAAATGGCCTGACATCGTCCTGATGATGGCTGCCTACTGAAAACAGAACGCTATGAATAACTGTTAAAACCACTGTGTGACTAGGGGTAAACATGATATTTACTTAACAGTGACTTCATTCACTCTATAGTTTACATAAAATTGTCAGCTGGAATGTGTTATGCGGTCATACACACTAACTCGCCTACATCATTAATGTGCCATTGATTCTGCGTTATGGTGAGGTGTGTTTTTGCACTTTATTATGCTTTATTTGGTGTGCAAAAAAAGATTGGAGATCGCTGCTGTTCATTTTACTAAATAATAACTGTTTAAAAAAGACCATGCAGGACTTTACTTTTCTTTAACAGTTGTGTACAGACTTACTTTCGATAAGCCCTTTTAAGCAGGTGAAAGCTAAACATTGAGGGAAATTTTACCGAGAAAAGCTTAGAGTAGGCACAGCTCAGTCTTCTGAGGGGTCCACTAGGCCAAATTTACTTGGGAGGCTCACAGCAAGAAAACTGATGATTCATTTCACTTGCTCCACAGTAATCTGGGTAATCGCAGGTAATCTGGGGCCCTGGGCACTTGCCAATTCTGCCTACAGCTAGAGCTGGCCCTGGCTTAGACTTCCATTGCAGTTTAGTTGGCCAGGTAGGAGATTAATAGATTGGTGATTAGCACAAAGCAGATTATACGGATCTAGTTCAGTTGTAGTCATTAGAACACTAGAGCCAGTCCATCCTGATAAATATAAACAGGGACTACAAGCATAAATATTAGTAGGTACCAACTCTTCAAGTGTTTTTGGCTCTTTCCTGGTGTAAAAATCTTGGCTACCCAAGTTTTTTTTTTTATGAATAACTCAAATGTGTGGGTGAAAGAACAGCACCGTCCAAAGCCCAGGTATCCAAGTTCAAGGTTGATACTGAGTTAACATGATGACGTAGGAATTCTGGGATCTTTTCTGGGGATGTGTTCTTGAACAGCCCACACATATTAGTCCTCAGGATACACTGCGATTCTATGACTTAATGGCGGTCCTCAGGATACACTGCGATTCTATGACTTAATGGCGGTCCTCAGGATACACTGCGATTCTATG